TTTAAAAAATCCATGTGAATCATACAATTGATCATTTGTCACCGTTTAATAAGCAGCACTTTTTCTTTTTTATGGATGCATAAAATGGTGCTTCTTACAATCGATGGCATCTTAGAGTCAAGAAAATATGGTAGTTTTGATCTCCAATAATTCTTGCCTAACAGACTGCCTTTAGAGTGTAACTCTCAAGAACCAACTCTATGGTACATTCTTTTTCTAATTAAAAAATAAAGCCATTTCTACCCTATTAGGAAAAAAAAACCAAAAAAACCCCAGAATATCTTATAGCTGTATGGGGCTCCGAACAGAGCAGGAAGAAGGCAGGAGGCCCTCTGCTCTGCCTGATGGGAATCCCTCCTGGCCAATGCTGGTCAGGCTGCCCTGACCTCCCCTATACATACCTGGGCTCCTTCTGCAATCGCCTCTGCAGTCCACCCATGGGCGGGCACAAACCCCAGGGCTGCCGTCAGGATGCGGTGCTGTAGCTGCTCCTCACTCTCATAGTCCTCTTCTTCCTCGCCACCCTGGTCTGTATACCTGAGAAGTGGGAAGACCATCCAGCACGCTTCATCTCACTGCCTACTGCCTGACCGGAAACCAGTAGCTCTGGGTCTCCTCTAAGCATATGTTGGGAGGACATTTACTTTTTATTTTTGTGTCAGTATCAATGTTTTGATGCCAACAGAGTAAATATTATATCATCCTCCCCCTCCCATGAGAAGGGATCCAGTGAGTTGAGGTCATGTGACATGAAAGCAATATTCCCACAACCCCCTGGATTACCCAGTTTAGAGTCCTTAGCACACTGTGTTCTTTATTTATATTTGCACTAGACTGTAACTTCATGAGGGCAGGGGCAATAGTTATATTATTCATATGGCCTGGCACATAGTAGATCCTCAAAAAATACCTGTCAAATTCAAATGAAAAATAATTAGGAAACCAGAAAAAATGATGAGGAACACTCTAATTTCAGATCTAGAGAAACTTTTCTGTGGCAAGATTAAAAAAAAAATCTAATGGAAATGTAAATTATTATTACCTTTCTGGAGGGCAATTTGGCCCCACATATGTAACAAAACTTTAAATGTACACATACCTTGACCCAATGCTCCCACTTCAAAGGAGCAATTCATATACTTTATTACATTATTTTTCATACCAGTTAAAGAAACTTAAATATCTATCAATAAAAGACAGATTAAATAAATTTTAGTACAGTCATTTGCTGGAATGTTGTACAACCATTAAAATAATGTAAACTGTGAAGACATCAGAATGGACTTTTGAGTGAAAAAACACATTCTGGAATAGTATGTATAATGTAATTAATCATTTATTATATACACAGACTTACATATGAAATATGCTTACAGAAACATCTAAAAAGACACACAAAAATGTTAGCAGAGTTATCTCTGTGATTTTGGATAATTTCTGCTTGATTTTTGTGAACTTCTCTGCATTGTCTAGATGTTTTAGAATGTATAGGGACCATTTTTATAAAAACAATGGTCTTTTCAAAGATAGCCTTGTTAATGATGGAAGGTTAAGAGGAGGATAGAGAGAAGGGAGGAAGTGGAGGAGGAAAAGACATACCCAAACATGCAAAGGCCAGAAATGGGTGGATTGGGGTTCTGGGGCCTACCTGGGGAATGAATGAGAAGACTCTGGATTGGGTTTTGCTGCCCCCTGTGTCTCAGAATGCTGAGAAAAATAGGGGGGAGGTTGCTGCTTCTGCTCATCTGAAGACCTCAGCCTCACAGCTGAAGCATGGAAGGCACGTGGCACCGGTAGTCGGCAACAAGACACTGAAATAGAAACTAGGCTGGTCAGTCAGGGATACTTACCAGAGACCCTGGAGACCCAGTGTGGTAATACAGACAGGGAGGAGGAATAGCAAGGCAGAGACTCCTCCAGAACCACTTATTCAAATGTTGGGTTCCACAGAAAAATCTTGGGTAAACTGGAAACCTTGGGACATGATGTAGTAGCAAAAGTGGTGGCCAGGAAACAGAAGACCTACCTGGCTTCTTGATCTGTTTCTACCATCTGTTAGTTACGTGGTAATGGGCAAACCATGTCACCCCAATGTGCAGATTTTGAAATCTGCAAATTCAGAGCAATATTCTCTACTTTGTCAAAAGAAGTGTTGTAAGGCCCAAGCAAAAAGTGAAAGTGATTTGAAAAGGTTACATATTATGGCAAGAGCACTAAAGTAGGAATTAGGTCTCAGTACTGACTCCCCCAGTGCTTTTATGGTATCTCTGGAACAGTCACTAATCTCTATCTGCTTTCTCATCTGCAATACCTGCAACTCCCCACTTACTTTAGGAAAGATCAGTAGTGTGTTTCCTAAGCATAAACTCATACTACATTTTTCTTTCCCAACATTTTATTGAACAAACTGTGGAATGAACACTTGTATATCCACCACTAGGTTTTACACATGTATCTATCATGCTCTTCATTCATCCATCTTGATTTTTGATGCATTTGTTACAGATCTCAGTATTCTTCATCTCTAAACATTTTAGCATGCATATCATTAACAATGTATACTGTTCTTTTATTGAGGTGCCATCTATATACAATGAAATGTGCAAACCTTAATGAGTTTTGACAAATGTATACACTTGCATAACCTGAACCCTATCTAGACAGAGAACATTACCATCAACCCAGAAAGTTCCCTCACACCCTTTCAGTCTTTCCCCATCCATACTGTTCTCAATTTTTAACTCTAGATTAGTTTTTGCTTGTCTAAGTTCTGCCTGTCCTAGGATTTCATCTAAATGCACTTTTTTTCTGTAAGCCTTCTTTCAATTAGCATATTTTTTTTTCCTTTTTGTCTTTTTTACTGACCAGTAACGGGATCGCAACCCTCGGTGTCACGCCCGTACCGGGGACCAGCAACGGGATCACAACCCTCGGTGTTGCGCCCACACCGCGCTCAGCCAGTGAGCGGGAAACAGTCTCCACATGGGATCCGAACCCTCAGCGGGAGGGCCACCGCGCTCCCAAGCTGTGCACTCTCCAGTGCGCCACCGGGTCGGCCCTCAATTAGCATATTTTTGAGTAAATCAGTAGATCTGACAAAGATTCTCTCCTTAACCACACTCTAGCCAGGCTCCTGAGCCCTCTTCTTAACTAGGCCTTGACCTAGGCCTATAAAGAGGTGAACACACACTAACACAGTTTTGCTCAACGCCAAAGCCCTAACATGACCCTAGCCCTCTTTAAAGTGTCTGTCGGAGAAAACTTCAGGGTGTCAAAAAACTTTACTGTTTGTTCCAGCCAGCACCTGAGGATAGAGCACTGTCTCCCCATGGGAAGATAGAATCCTAACGTCAATAATTGCCAGCTAGCAGATACGGCTGGCCTAACTGCATTTATAAGAACCCTTTGTAATCTTTCACTTTCCTGATTCTACTGAGCCCCCACTTGCCCTCCTCCCTATTTCCTCATTCTTCTTTTAAAGCATCCAGTCACTTCTGCACAAGCTGAACTTAAGGTTGAGTTCTGGATTCTTTTCTCTATTACAAGTTACAACTGACTAAAAACTGTCTTTACCACTTTAACTAGTGTCCAGCTTTGTTTATCCGCAACAGATCTTAAGATTTCTTGTTTTTTTTTTTTGGGGGGGGGGGGGGTTTTTTTTTTTTTTTTGGGGGGGGGGGGGTTTATTTGTTTGTTTTGGCAGCTGGCCGATATGGGAACCTGAACACTTCACTTGGTGTTGTACCGCCACACTAACCTACTGAGCTAACCCGCCAGCCCAGATCTTTAGTTTTTATTACCAAGTAGTATTAGGCTGTTTCAGTGTTTGGCTATTGTAAATAAAATTGCTATGAATATACTTGTACAAACCTTTTTGTAGACACATGCTTTCATTTCTCTTGGGTAAATACCTAAGAATAGATCTGCTGGGTCACAGGCATTACTTTTACTAAACATACTTTAGTTTGGAATTTTGTGTAAAAACAGCAAAAAGGCATTTATAAAAAAATCTAGGGAATGACTCAGGGAACAACGATCTCAGAAGAAACACAGAACAGTATGCATAAAAATATCAGTATTTTAGTGTATGTACAGAAGAAAATGATGCAAATATACATACAACTTTGAAATGGAAGGGGTGGGTCCCAAAATATGACTGTGAAACCACCGTGGTTCATAAGGAGATTTTAGGTGAAATACAAGAGAGTATTTCATTAGCTATATATTTATGTTAATATGTCAATGGGTACGACCTACTTCTGGACGGTGATATTGATTTTCCATGTATGGTAGTGCTATAAAGTTTCCTCTTCAAGTAAATGTCTACTTTTAAGAACCCAGACGTAGAAATTAAAATATAGAGCATATAGCAGCAAAGGTGTTAAGAGAACAGTGAAGTAATGGGGAAATGACTGACTGTGGGGAAACAACGGACTAGATGCTCTCTACGGCCATCCCCAACTGTCTCTCGAGGGGTCCTGGCCCAAGGACTTGGCAACGGAGTTGAGAAATGGTCCGCGACTGCCAGTTCTGCCACGCACGGACGGGCTATATAGGAGCTTGGGCACTCCCAGCCCTCTCTGAGACTCCGTTAACTCCATGATATGGGGGTGACAGGCCCTACCCAGCTGCTCTTGCCCCTCACAGCTCGAGACCGGAGACCGAAGCCTGCCAGGCGTCCCGTTCGAGCCCGCGAAGCCGGCGACTCTGTGCCGATGCCCTTCACCTCACCTTGCTGGCGGGCCGCGACGACGGCCTCTTCCGCCCCGCACCCAGCCCCGGGCCGTCCTCGCGCCCGCTTCCTGCTCCTCCCCGCTTCCCAGCCCGGCTGACCCCTCACCGGGCAGGCACCGCAGCTGCAGGAGCCTCCAGCCCGTCCGGCCGAGGGCGCCGGACACCGCCGCCGCCATCTTGGAAGCGGGCACGCAGCCCAGCATAGAGACCACGGAGCAAGGAGGGCGGAAGTGGCCGCGCCGCGGAATCTCCTCCTCTCGCGAGAGGTGCGAGGCGCGGAGCTGGCGGCTGCGGAGAAATCGGGAGCCAGCCTAGGCGGCAGGTGAGAGCGATCGGGGCTACCTGAGAACCCGACTTCCTTCAACGATCCCTTCCCGACCCACCCTCGACCCTCATATCCTCTCCTTTCGTATTTCCGGCCCCGTCCCTCGGTGGGAACGTAGTCACGCCGCCCCTCTGAGAACCCCGGCGGGCTTATTCCCCTGGAAGCCGTTGTGAGGGGGCTGGCCCGGCGTGCCCCGGGCTCCCGATGATGGCTTCTTGCTCTTTGTGGCTGCCTCATTTCTCGCGCAGCCGGCCCCGGTCTGAGGTCCCGGGTGCAGCGCGCTGAGGAGAAAGAGTCCTGAGCCGGGATCCGGGAGGCCTGGGTCTGAGACCGGGTTCTGCCAGTGGTCAGCTGTTGTGACCTTGGTCCTCAGTCTCGAAGTTTCGGTCCCTGAGGGTATCTGGTAGCAAAGCACGGAAGCTTGGGGGTACCTGAGCTTACAGATTGTTATTTTCAGCCTGTCATTTGTCTGAACCCCCAAGGGTGTTGAGTTGGTATCATTATTTCACAAACTTGCCAGATCAGAAGAATCATCTAGCATGCTTATTAAGAAAACGAATAGCCAGGAGAGTTACTTCAGTGTGTCTGGGTGTGGTCCAGGAATATTATTTTAACAAGTGCCCTGGTGATTTGTAGGACTGCAAGTTTGGGAAAGGTTGGTGAACATTCTGACATTATTGAGTGTCCAAGCTCTGGATGGCTCAAGGAGGTGGTGGTCTAGTTACTAAACAGAAATGTAAATGCAGAGTACCTCACTGGGGTATGGTCAGGGGAGGCTTATAGGAAGAAGTAAATGGTTTTTGGATTAGGGACAACAGGAACATCTAATTCTGTAAATTTTGTGTGTTTGCAGTTAGAACCCATCTCTTTATCTGCTGTGTTTTGCATACTCCTTATGAACTCTAGCCTTTTCAAAACACCCTGCTCTCACCTGCGCAGGTGGGGAGGAAAACTTCTAGGCCGAAACTCTCCCCAGACGTTAAAATTTCAGATCCATATCTCTGGATTTAGGTAAAGCACTGCTGATCTCTCCATAAGGTTTTGTTTTCTCGGTTCTGTCCACCCATCTTTGAGTGAGTCTTTCCTGTGGAAACTAACACTTGGATATCCTTTCTGAAATCTTTAATTCCTGACACACACCTAATTGCCTGAAGGCAGTTTCCCATGTCTTTTCCTTTGAGTTTTCTGTTTCCTTGCTTGCTTCTCATCTTTAAAAAATTCTTTTCTGTATGTGTGCATGTGAGCTTCAGTCAGTTCATTTTAATTAAAATTTTCCTTTATGATAACTGCCAGTATTTTCAGAATATTTTTTTTTATTGTAACATAGTTGTACATTTCTGTGGGGTACAGAGCTGAATATCATTACCTGTGTGCAATAAGTGATGCTCAAATCAGGGTGATTAGCATATTCAACATTATACCATGTAATCATTTTTTGTGGCCCTTTACCGATTCCTTCCTTACTTCCCTCCCCCTCCCCCTTGTCCACCTCTGGTAACCTCAGTTTATTCTCAGAATTTTTTATGCACCTGCCTTAAAAGGATTGATCTTTGGCTTGAACCGAAGCCCACACTTCTTTTTTTTTTGGCCCCCTTCACCCTTAAGAGGGATCAAATGCCTCAAGATTTTATGCTTTCTGGGAACCTTAAAAATATACAAGTGCATCTCTAGAAGTTATTCTCAGACATCTGCTTTTACTGCCTGCCAATAAAATTTTAAAAGAGCCATGGGCAAGTGTGTGCAGCATAGTTGGAGAGGTATCTAACAAACAACATCAGCCGTGTGACAATAACTTCAACTCCACCTCTATTTAGTTATGAAACTCGGCCCTGAGTCACAGTGTCTATGTATGTTGGCTTAAGTGCCAGACATTTTTTCCTTATGTTTTTCTTTTTTTTTAATTAACAACAATAACACAAAACTCTGATGATGAAAGTATTACACTTTGGCTGTTAGATATTTAAAAGAACATTGTCTCCTGCTTTATCTGGAAAATGCTGACTAAAAGTAGTGGCTTTGCCTGTTTTTTGGAGAGTAAATGTTCAATAAATGTATTTTATGAGCTCCCTCTTACCATAAGATTATTTTAGGGGATATGTAATGCAAAGCATTTTATTTGCGTTTGTCTACTGACATAATCCTGCTGGAGTACTAAGATGTCATAAAGTGCAGCTCTTATATTGTGTAATTCTAACAATGAAAAAGAAGCTCCACATAGCTCCCTGGGAAGTCCTCCTAGCAGTCATGGAAGAACAAGGTTTTATAGGACTATTTGGAGCAAAGGCAAATAAACTGACCACAGAGAAGTGGAGGCTCAGAGTTCTCTTAGAACATTATTTTATTGAGCTCTGTAACAGACCCTGCTGAGTGCTTTGCATATTTTTATCTTCTCATTTACTTCTTACGGCAGCCTTGCAAAATATGAGGTTATTATTTCTACTTTATTGATGAGAAAACAGACTCAGAGGCTAATAACATGTACCTAATAAGAAGATCCAGTGATAGATAGACCTTGTCTGCTCTATAAAACTGCCTCCATAAAGATGCGGAAAAGGTCTAGACATCTGGTTTTTTTTCTCTAGCTAATAAGTAACCTTTTGCCTCTTGTTTTCTTCATGAGGGTTTTTCTGTGAGTACATTGCAAGGTTGTGACAGTCACTGGTGGACAAGGAGCTTGTCATACCTTTCCATTGTCCCAAGGGAGAGCCTGTTACAGCAACATTCTAGAAACAGGTCATTTCTTTCTTTTTTTTTTTTTTTTCCTTTTTGTTTTTTTTTTTTTGACCGGCAACGGACGCAACCCTCAGTGTTGCGCCCGTACTGGACCGGGACCGGCTACGGGATCGCAACCCTCGGTGTTGCGCCCACACCGCGCTCAGCCAGTGAGCAGGAACCGGTCTCCACATGGGATCCGAACCCTTGGCGGGAGCGCTGCTGCGCTCCCAAGCGGCGTACTCTCCAGTGCGCCACCGGGCCGGCCCCATTTATTTCTTATAACTTGCTCACCTTAAAGATTTACAAGTGTTCTTCCTCAACGTCATGTGACAGATAAAAGCTTAAAAGTTCCAGTTCCTGATTGTGTGCTTTTTCGGGATTTAAAGACCAAAATTAAATGACGACGGAATCCTGCTTGTCTGATAACACCTGGCATCCTTTTACTGGGAATAATAAAGGGTTAGGATAATAAAGGTTGGGCATTCCACATCAAGGAACTAGATAAAAAGCATGATAGAATGAAATGTGAAGGTTTTTCATAGAATAAGGAGGGATTCACTTTGGAGTGGTGGGAGATGCAGGTGGAGCCAGATTATAGAGACCCTGAATCCAGAAGGCTAAGGAGTTTTGATTTTACCTTAGAAAGTAAAACCTTTAGTAACTCCTTTAGGAAATAATTGACAAAATCAAAGTGGTGTAGTATTTAAGGATGACTCTGGCTAATGGGCATGTTTTATAGACAAAGGAGAGAGATTTGAAGTGAACATTTTTAAAGAAGGAAGAGTGTAGTGGACATGACTTAAATTCTGCCCCAGAATGTCTTTGGTGGCATAATTATCACTGAGTTCACCACCTCTACAGAAGTCAGAAGTATTCAGCGTAAGACTAATCCATGCTTGACACCTCTACCACAGCTTCTGTCTTTGTTTCATTTGTTTGAGCTATTTTTAAGTCAGAAATTTAGTGGCATTAATGTTTAAGAAAGAAAGGAGGATCTGAGCAGAGTGTTATCTCCTGACCTAATTTCATTGTAAGCACGTTATATTCTAACCTGAGTATCAAGTGGAAGAGAAAGTTGACCCATGGAGGGAAATTTTCATAGGTTAAAAGCATAGGCTTTATAGTCAGATAGATTTGGATCCAAATCCCATTCATTACTTTATCCACATAATGCTTACTAGTTGTGTGACTTGCACAAAGTCAGCTGCCTCAGTTTCCTGACTGTAAAATGGAAATGATATCTAGTTTAAGGCTGTTCTGAGGTTCAGTTATGGTAATGTATGTAAGATGCTTTGCACAGTCTGGCTAATGTCAAATGTTAAAGAAAGACATAGTAGATACTATTGATCATGTAGATTTAATAGAATTGAATTTTTGTATTTTGATGAAAGGGAATGTGTTGTCTCTTTTAAAAAAAACATTAAGCTTGTGGTTGGGTTATATCTGCCTTTCTTACTGAGTCACACTTCTGCCTAATTAATGTCCTATGTATTTTATATTCTGTTCAAGTTGAGTTATCTCAAATCAAACAAGAAGTAATCTTTTTGCTTCCAACCTCCTTACTTGACTCTAATCACCTTTTCTTGACTCTGCCAAATCAGGATTCTTACCACCTGCCTTGTTAGGGAATGTTGGGATTATAAGCCTTGAGGTGATGGGTTCATTTATTCAGACTCTGGCATCAACAGTAAGATTTTTAATGTCATCATCATTCTCTGGTGAGAGGTTGGAAGTAGGTTGTCATTTTAATTGTTTATGATGATGCCCCATGGATTAAATTGCACTTTTGTCTCTGCTCAGTCTTGATTTTCTTTTGCCAGTACTTTTTAGGTCTGTCAGCACTGCAGGAATGGCAGATTTTGGGATCTCAGAAGGCCAGTTTGTGGCGGTGATCTGGGATAAGTCATCCCTTGTAGAGGCTCTGAAAGATCTGGTGGGTAAGCTTCAAGTGTTAACTGGCAATGAGGGCCGAGTGTCTGTGGAAAACATCAACCAGCTGTTGCAGTGTAAGTACTTGTCTATGTCATCTTTATAGGATTGGAGGGGTTTTGATGGGAGTGCTGCATTTCTGTAGTTCCTTGATATCTGAGTTTTTATTTTGGGTGGCACGTGATATTAGTGGCCAGTCAACCTGTTTTTCAGTTGAGATATATTAGACTTAGGAGTGTAGTTGATGATTTCTGTAAGTATGTTCTTGTTTCTTAGTAGCTATGCCACTTTTTTTTTTTAAAGCTTAGTCTTCACCCAGTTACCTTTTTAACTTCTTTCCCTGAACATATAATAGAATATGAAACTAGTAAGACTTCAGGAGAGCAGGGCAGAGCCTTATTGCCCCTTTTGCTAGTAATGTTGGTTTAATAGTGTTTACTGAAGAGGTGGATGTTCATTCTCTTGGGACAAAGCCTGTAGACTTTGTGGGGGCTTGGGAGGGATTGGGAGATTGCTTCTGGGGCTCAGGCGATTGCTGATTGGAGTCTTCTTTCTTTTCAGCTGCCCATAAAGAATCCAGCTTTGACATTATTTTGTCTGGTGTAGTCCCAGGAAGCACCACTCTGCACAGTGCTGAGATTTTGGCTGAGATGGCCCGGATTCTTCGGCCTGGTGGCTGTCTTTTTCTGAAAGAGCCAGTAGAGACAGCTGTAGGTAAGGAAATCTTCACTTGAAAGACTAGTTTGACTGGGTTGGGACTTTGAGTATGCTTGCTGCATCTCCCTGAGCAAGACATATCATTTGGAGATCAGTATTCCTACAGCAGAACCTTCTTCTTAGAGATAAATTATTGTTAATATCTGAAGCAACGGATCTGAAGAAATTGGGATCATTGGCTGACCCATTAGGTAATAATGAGGGAAACTTCCGTCTAAAAATGACTGGGTTCTGAATTTTTATCATCTGGTGTTAAAGGCATTCAGAGGTGTATCATTCATGATAAATATCATGGGTATCACTGGGAAGAATCTCTATTCTTAATGAACTAGTTTTTCTTGGGGTTGCGAATATGCCACTATATATAAGAAAAACTTATTCCTTGCATGGGAAAATATTATTTCTAAACAGGTATTTATTGAATTGGTATTTTAGCTAAATGCCTTATTTTGGAAGATGGTTCAGAAGTTAAATTGTGTTTTCCTTAAGAAAATAGATTTTTATAATTTTTAAAAAGTTTCTTGGATAATATGCCACTTATTTTAGCTCTTTTCAATGAGTAATGTATTTGAGCAAGTAGTTTTAAAAATTTTAATACATACGTTTCATTTCATAAAATGATTTTTCTACATTTATTTTTTTGGTGAACATTTTCTTGATATATGATGTTTCTAAAAGAGTGGGTTATCTTTCACCAATATTAATGAGAAGGCTTTATCTTAGAAAAACTAGCCATGATATTTATTTTAAGTAAATACCTTTGTTATTTAATAGCATAGTTGGTATTTTTAACCTGTAATACATATTTGAGAATTTGGAAAATACTGAAATAAAGAAGAAAATAAAAGGTGCTCAGAATTCCACTACAGTTAAGATTTTGGTGTATCTTCGTTCCAGATATCTACATGGCCTCCTCCCTACCTCTTCAGAAACAACAGCAGCAAACCCAAACAGATACATAGTTTTGTGTTTAATTAGTACTTTCTGTAGGTACTGTTTTCTGGGGAAAAAAATGGTTCTACATTATTTGTCTCTCCTTTTTTGGGGGGGCGGGGGTAGGTGGCTGGCCAGTATGGGGATCCAAACCCTTGCCTTTGGTATTATAACACAGTGCTCTCACCAACTGAGCTAACTGGCCAGGCCTTATTTGTTAATAAACCTTTGCCTTCTGGGGGGGAAAAAAAAAAGGCTGGGTTCTGCAGGTTAAGCTTTTGTATGTCCGTAACATGGAAAATGATACAACAGTAAAAAGGAACAAGTATCAATATGTGTATCAACTTGGATGGATCTCAAGGGAAATATGCTGAGTGAAAAAAAGCCAATCTCAAAAGGTTCCATGCTGTATGATTTCATTCATATTTTTGAAATAACAAAATTATAGTGATGGAGATTGGATTAGTGGTTGCCAGGGGTTAGAAATGGGAGGAAGGAGGGTATGTGTGTATGTGGCTATAGAGGGGTAGCATGAAGGTTCCTTGTGGTGATGGAACACTTCTGTGTCCTGATTGTGGTGGTGGTCACACAAATCTACAAATGTGATAAAATTGCATAGAACTGTACACACATGCCACCCCCTCTCCCCCCACCCCAACGAGTACATGTAAAACTGGTGAAATCTGTATAAACTCTGTGGACTATCATTGTCAACTTCCTGGTCTTCATGTTGTGGTATAGTTGTATAAGGTGTTACTATTGGGGGAGATGAGGTGAAGAAGGGAATACGGACTGCCCTGAATTTTTTTTTTTTTTTTTGCAACTTTCTGTGAATCTATAGTTATTTCAAAATAAAAAGTTTAAAAATAATGGCTGAAAGTCTGGGAGTGGTAAGGTAATTACTGATTCATGTGAAACTGACACATGAAAGTTTCCAAGAAATAAAAACCAATTTTTGCTCAGTGTTCTATCTGTTAGTCATTCAATTCTGGAATTTTTGCATTTTTCACTAGACTTTCAATCAAAACATGACAATTTACTTCATCAAATAAAATAATAGAGGCTGGCTGGTCAGCTCAATTGGTTAGTACACGGTGTTATAACATCAAGGTCAAGGGTTCAGATCCCCAGCAGCCACCAAAAATTAATGATAATAATAGAAATGAAAGTATTTTGAAATGTATAAAGGTATTCATTGTTAATGTGATGTTCATAACAAACATCAGCATTCTTTGCTGAGAATTTAAATCTTTGGTGACTGAACACAGTATCTCTGTCAGAACTATACAGAGAGAATACTTGTATTTCTGTGCACTTTGCAGTTTATAAGACTCTTTCACCATCATTATCCAACAACCCCTAGAAAAAGTTTCCCAGAAGCAGAGAATGATAAGAAACAATCATAGTGGAATCATAACATTTAAGAGCATATGTAAGAACAATTTGAACAACCTAAAAGATTTATCAAGTTAAAATGCTATCTCTAAAATATATACATGTTAATCAGAATAGGTTATTATTGTTTGAATGCCTGCTGATCTACATAGGATACAGCCTTTATTATTTTTCTTGCTTCGACCTATAAAGCTGTTAATTGGGGTTTTCCTCTTGGCAGTTAACAATAGCAAAGTGAAGACAGCATCTAAACTGTGTTCAGCCCTGACCCTTTCTGGTCTTGTGGAAGTAAAAGAGGTATGTTTATAGACAACCTGCTTTGCTAGGAATTTAAACTTTGGGTGACTAAGCCCAGAACCTCCTTGTCAGAATAGTCAGGGGAAATAACAGCTCTGCAGGTGAGATGGTGAGGGTTTCATAGAACTAGGAAATGAGAAATGCTACCGATGTGAGATATGTAATACTTCAAAGGACAAACCTCTGGGAATAAATCTCCTTTGAAGAGACTCAGCTTGGGCCTGTGTGGGTTGAGACTTGTTCTGGTCTCCTTGGTGATGACAGCTGAGGTGGGGAGAGCAGCAGCTCTGCTGCTCTGATACCCACCTCTCAGTGGACATGAATCCTGGGTCTGGGTGGAATGTAGTCACCAAGATCAGCCTCACATTTTTAGTGGGAGGCTGGAATAGGTTGGGGGAGTGGGGGAATCCCATTTCTGACAATTCAGTAGAGATATTTAAATTAAACTGGTGTTTATATTTCTATATTCCTCTCCGATGTTAAAATTTTCTAGGGTGTGGCAGAGGTAAATGTTATATTGTGGTAGCTGCTATACCACTGATTTTGTTACATTATCTAGAGCCTTAGATTCTTTATGCCAATCCTTCCTTACCTTTCCTGTTAGTATAAGGTTTTCTGTGTTTGATTCTAAAGTAAGGAATGCTCATAAAGATTCAATTTATAATGAAGAATATAGAATATAAAGTGACATTCCTGTCCATCCTTATGCTTCCCTCCCCAGAGGAAGCCACCAGTGTATCAGATCTTTTCCTATATATTTACAAGCATGCATATGCATATGCTTCTTTTTGTTTAATGTAAATAAGATCATATGTATACAATGTTCAGTCAAGTATCTTTTCTGCCACCCTTAGATATCTTAGATACTTATCCACCTCAGTATATTTCTCCTCATTCTTATTGATAGTGATGTAACAGTATTCCATGCTGTAGACAGACTGTGATTTATTTAACCATTCTGTAATTATTAGACATAGAGGTAACACCGCGACCCTTTTTTCCCCCACCTTTGCTACCTGCTACTTCTTCCCAGTGAAGGTAGAAAGGATTTCCCTCCCCCTTTCTCTTATGATACAAATTTCTACTCTCTTCAATGTGGGCATGCTTCCCTAATATACAACAAGACCATGTCTGATTTATCTTTATAATCATAATCATTAAGCCCACACAATGACTAGCATAGTGTCTTATACCTAATATTTGATAAATACTCTAAAACTTTCCAAAGAGTAGGCTCAAAGTAAACATACAGACAAAAGTTATACTCTAGGGTTCTGATCAGTGAAAATCTGAATGTGAGGCATGAAGTGATATCTATTACTTTCTGCCACTATATACTTGGTACACAGAAATGAGTATTTAACTCCTGTATAGGTAGACATAGTAAAACATTTTATAGAAGGAGTGTGGACTAATCCTTTTGATGTCTTGAATTCTAGCTGCAGCGGGAGCCCTTAAGCCCTGAGGAGATACAGTCCGTTCAAGAACACCTGGGTTATGAAGGTGACAGGCTGCTTTCTCTTCAGATCACAGGCAAAAAACCAAACTTTGAAGTGGGTTCTTCTAGTCAGCTTAAGCTTTCCATCTCCAACAAGTCTTCTCCTTCAAGTAAGTCTGGCCTGGGGACATTCTTCTGTTTTAAAGGACCTGAAAGGACATATTAGAAATTCAGCCAGAGATCTAAATGATATGGTAATATTTTTAAAGGATCAGTCCTTCTTTAATTTCTGTCATTCCAAATGGGAGAATGCTTAATGTACTATTAAACCTGGGTATATTTGAATCCAAAACTGAAATAATATGTAGATATAATCTAGTTCAGCTCCTTCTTCACCAGAGGACACTGAGGCCTCCTGATTGTAGAGGCCTGACTCACGTAGTTTAATTAGCGAAGTCTTTCCGGGCCCCAGAATTACATTTATCTTCCGAAGACCTCACAGTAGTGATAATGGTAGATAAGAGTGTCCTGGTCCTGTTCCCCTGTGCTCTTTTTAGTTATACCAGTAAAGTCAACTTTTCTTCCTTTGACGATCCTAACACACTTATAAACTGTATTTCTTCTGTCCGGAATATTGTGTGCATGCACACACACACACCCTTTGCCTCAACTATCATCCTTTCTATCACTATTTTTTTTTTCCTTTTTGTCTTTTTTTACTGACCGGTAACGGGATCGCAACCCTCGGTGTCGCGCCCGTACCGGGGACCGGCAACGGGATCGCAACCCTCTGTGTTGCGCCCATACCGCGCTCAGCCAGTGAGCGGGAACCGGTCTCCACATGGGATCCGAACCCTCGGCGGGAGCGCCACCACACTCCCAAGTGGCGCACTGGAGAGTGCGCCACCGGGCCGGCCCTCTATCACTATTTTTTAATGCCTGAATTGTTGTTCCAGCTGTGAGGTATGAAAAAATTGGCAGATATTACTGGTACATTCTCACTGCACTATTTTGACTATTCAGCCTACATCTTTAAGAAATCCTTTGGAATCTAACCTTTGGATTCATGGTTCCTGAATGGGTAGAAAAAGCTTAGATGAACAGTTGGCCCTGTGGAAGTTCTGAGCATCCAGTTGTGACAGCGATCACGAAGAGATGCACTTACCCCAAAGGCCTTGTTGATTTGCCCACACTGAATCCTGGGTCTCAGCTCTCTCAGAGGCCCTTCCTTGCATTCTCCTGACCTAGACAGAATCAGGAGGTGTGAGGTTTGTGTCTGCCACTGATTGTGTTACTTTGCCTCCACCAGCTCTAGAGCCTATTGTCTCATATATAACAGATTTCTGTAAGGCTAAAACTTTGCTGTTTATGAAGTGTTTGACACATTTCTTATTTAACCTTCAAAACACCTGCAGTAGTTATAGGGAGTATGAAGAGGGGTCTTGAAAAAGTTCACGGAAAGATTTGTATTATATTTTAATTCTGTTTTTCCACAAACTTTTTGAAGTACTCTTATTTTTAGCCCCACGTTATAGGGATGGAATCTAAAATAAGGGGGAGAAAGCAATATGAAATGGAGGTTAAAAGCATTAGAAAGCCTTGTGTTTGTGGCCTTGTATAACTGGCCTCTGCATGTAAACCTGTTTCCTCATTTGTAAAATTAGGATGACAAATAAATAAATACTTCATAAGATTGCTTGCAGGATTAAATTAGATAATACATATGAAGTGCTTAATATTATGTGTGGTACAAAACAAGTACATAACAAATGATTTCTGTTGCTGTCATAAAGTAGCTGGCCCAAGGTCATGCCTTGTGTAAGTGGTAGAGCTGGGCCTCGAACCCGAGTCTTCGGAGTCCCAGTCCAGTGTGTTCTCTTTTACACAATAGAAAGCACTTTTGTACCCTAGTAGTTTGTTTCTGACTACTTTTATGGATCTCTTCTTCTATTGGTTGGGCTCAGTGAAGCGTGCCGTGGACCCAGCCGCTGCCAAGCTCTGGACCCTCTCAGCCAATGACATGGAAGACGAGAGCATGGTGAGTTGCACTGTAGTCACTTGATCACTTTCTTCCAGGCCCCACTTTGGCGGGAATAGCCATAGTTTGGAGTGACCTTTCTGTACTTGTAGGTGTGAACACATGCAAAGCCCAGCATTGTGGCTGTGCTTGACATGGGTGTCTTTGATTTAGAAGGAAACTCCATCTTGGTCACATTTTAAATTTCTTCTTTAGCATCTCTTTTCCCCACAGATTTTCTCCTTCTCGTTTCATGCGGTATTAAAGATTCTCGTGGGCATGTATAAACCTGAAAAGAGTCTTTAGTCAGCTAAAATATTTTTATTGGCCCCTTTGTCTGGGCAAGTCACTGAATGCTCACTGTCTTAAAAGTAATACTTATCTTTGATCAGCCCCGACTATAATAAAGTTCTTAGGTTAGAGTGCTGAGGAAAAGAAGTCATGGCTCATACTCTCATAGAGCTTATAGACTAATTGTTCACACGTTTACAAAGAATGCAAATGTATACAAATGTATGTATAATTATTTGCCTTTTTCTCTGGAATTATAGAAAATATTTGATTCCTTCTTTCACATGTCTCTGTTCAAATATTTAAATAAACCTAATACTTCTCTCTTTGTTCTGTCTGCTCATTCCCTCCCCACAAACACACACATGTATATACTCGTATTCTCCACAGTGCTGGCCAGTCTTACAGCTATTTCTCATGTAAATTAGTTCCCAGTTCTTACGCATGCTAATACATCTTCTGTGGACATTGTTTAGTTCACCATTGGCCTCTTGAGCACGTGGTCAAGTAGAGCATGATAATCAACCCAAAGTAGGACAGGGTGGACACCTTCTTTACCTGGACTGTGTAAGTTTGCTCTCAAAGCCTATGATCACTTTAGCTTTTCATTAGCAGAGACTAGAGCTCTGTCACTAATTGCTCTGAGCACTCTCTAGGATCTCATTGACTCAGATGAGCTTCTGGACCCAGAAGATTTGAAGAAGCCAGATCCAGCTTCCCTGCGGGCTGCTTCATGTGGTGAAGGGAAAAAGAAGAAGGCCTGCAAGAACTGGTAAGTGCTGGGGTGAGCAGAGTCTGCTACACCACTTCCAGTGGTTTTTCATTCTCAAGTAATTGCGATGCTTTACTGTTTTTAAAACATATTTTATGGTGAAATGTGTCATATGTATAGAAGAGTATATTAAACAAGTACATTGTAAAGAATAATAAAATGTAAAAAAAGGAATAATAAAATGAATGCCCGTGTACTGCTCGTCCTGGTTGAGAAACAGAAATATCACTAGTACCTTCGAAGTCACCTGTGTGTACTTCCTCAGCCGCATCTTGCTCCTCCCCCCACAAGAAATTACCATTCTCCCAAGTTTGTGTTAATCTTTTCTGGCATTTTCGATAGTTTACCAACTATCTCCAAACAATATATTATTTAGTTGTGAAGAACTGAGTAGTAAGTTCAAACCTGACTAGGTAAGGGAAGGTCAATATTCTCATAATAGATGAAGGCTCCCATGGAAAGATAGGGTCTTTGGGTTCTGGTTTGATCTCAGCTTCTTTGAGAATCTACAAGAGCCCCTTCCTGGAAAGTTGGTAGGAAGAACCTTGAGTAAATTGAAGAAAACGAAGGGCACGCAACAGTTAGAACATCCAGCGGAGTTGTAGTGAGGTGTGGTTACTGGATGACCTGCAGAAATATAGTCAGAGAGAATAGGCCACTCTGTATGTTCTGTTCTAAGTTCCCCATAGCCACAGCTCTACTCAGGAGTAGATCAGAGCAGAACACTTCTGTGGGACAGAATGAATGTCCTCAGCTGATCTGGAAATCCAAGTATGGAGGGGAAAGTTGAGTGTTGCTATTAGTGCGTGGTCGAGGTGGGCCAACGACAGAATCCGGGATAGTGTGCCTGACCTCGGGTTAAGATAATGGTATGATGGCAATAGGGAGCATGATGGCAGCCTTCAACATGTCATCTCCTGTGACTCTATGTCTTCAGCAGAGCTGATAGCTAGGAGTCTCCCTTCACTCTTCCCCTCTGTCTTACGTTAACTTTTCTGTTTCCTGTACTACCTGTTGTCCTCTTTCATGGTTTTCTCTTTTGTGTTGGCAGAGCAAATTCTCCAGTAGTTTTTTTTAGAAAGGCTACCTGGTAAGTTTTGATTTTTTGTTTTTTGTGTTTTTAGACCTTGTGTGTGTGAAAATGCCTTTTTTCTACTCTCGTAAACGATTGGTAATTTGGGTATAGAAATCCAGGTTGGAAATAATTTTCTTACACAATTTTGGAGACATTTTTGTTGTCTTCTTTCTTCTAGTGATTCCGATGAGATATCCGAAGCTATTTTGTTTCTTGGTGCTTTCTGTTTTGGAAGTTTGTAGAATCATCTCTGTCCCTGGTGTCATTCTGTAGTAGCATGTTTTGAACAGGGCTCCGTTTTCATCTTTTGCGTTAGCCACTCAGTGCATCTTCTTAGTCTAGAAAGTCATGTCCACAGTCCTGGGAAGTGTTGTTTAATTTTGTTTATGAGTTTTGTCTGTTTTTTTCCTGTAATCTGTGACTCAGACGTTGGATTTCTTTGGTCCTGTAATTTTCTTTTCTCTCACACTTTCCATATTTTCCTATGCCCTACTTTTTGGGAGTTTTCTTCAAATGTATCCTCCAAAACCTCTATTAAGTTATTTTATTTCTACTATCATTATTTCTAATTTCTAAGATTCTTCTTTTTGTTCTTGATTTTTTTGTATATATACAATTCTGTTTTTATTTTATGGATGTGATATCTTTTCTTTTGAGGATAGTGATAGTTCTTTCAAGGTTTTTTTCTTCCTGTGTAGTCTCTGCTTCTTTCAATGTGCCTTTTTCTTTTAGTTTGGTCTCTGACTTCCATATTAGAGTCTTTCTTAAGATGTCTGGTAACCCCGGTTTCTTCACGATTGTGAGTGGAGGACAAAAAGCTCATTGGGAGCTCTGAGCATATAGGTGGGATTTTTGATTGTGCTTTATTGAAGGGAACCTGGGTAGGCCTTTGGAGGGGGGGGGCACTCTGAAATCAGGATGTTTGGGTCTCTCTTTGGGTTGGTTAGATTTTTCAGAGAAGAGTTTTCCTGCTGTTGCCAACTCCAGGGCCTTTTGAGATTTGGGGGTGTAAAAGGGGTCAATACTCAGCATTCCACTGCCAGCTTGGGGTTCAGTTTTCTTCCTTCTGTTAAGTCAGTTCTCCCTCCTCATCTGCTTTACAGCTTCCAGTGTTGTATTGCTATTGTCTCCTTTCTTGTAGTCTCTATGGATCTACATCTTTACTGAAGTTTTGGTGGGGCTTTGAGGGAAAATGAAATTAGATGCATGCATTCAATCTGTCCTCTTAACCTGGAACTTCGGTGCTAATAGTTTTACATCCGCTTTATAAGTGGATGGAAAGGATCATAAAAAGTTATCTGGTGGTTGTAGTCTTATTTGATCATCAGTATTTTTTTAAATGTGAAAGTAGCCAGTGTTCACAAGTCAGGAGATTTCAAGTAAAAATCCTTTCCTTAAATTTGGAAAATGTGACAACACAAGGTCTGCTTTTCCCTGAAGCAGATAGTGGCTGCCCTCTGTAGACAGGGCACATGTCCTCTATTTCTCTCCATTCCCCACCACTCTCACTGTCTCCCTTACCAGCCTCACACATTTTTGTTGCCTGCCTGGCCCATTAGGCACTTGAGTTATGACACCCTTGTGTAAAGAAAAAAAGTCTTAGAGTACGTTTTGGCACTGTTAAGGGTTTGGAGTTCCTGGGTGGTAGGTAGCAAATCTCATTCATCAGCGACTGATCTTCCTGCAGCACCTGTGGCCTTGCAGAAGAACTGGAAAAAGAGAAGTCAAGAGAACAGAAGGGCTCCCAACCCAAGTCGGCTTGTGGAAACGTAAATATCCAGACGTTACTGAACATTTACAAAACCCCCAGTGGTGCTGGGCATCATCCTAAACTAAACACACACTAGCTCCACCTCTAAGAAATTTACTATCCACATGTTTTAATAATAGGCAAATGTGTAAGAATATGTATGTAGGTAGTAATGGGGAGGAGCGGTATCTGCTCAGAGTGGGTTGGCACGCTCATGGCAGGCTCTTGTCCTTTCTTATTTTTGGTCCCTTTTTACTTCAGAGTGGGACTTGATGTTTTTCAGTCATTTGGCTGAGCATCACTATGATTTGAACTGCTTAGAATATAGAAATGTGGCCTCCTAAGGAACTTTTCTTGACAGTTGTTTTCATGAAGCCAAAGATCTTTAAAACTGTTAGTATTTGGATCTCAGTCAGACCTGCAAATGCATCCAGCCATTTCCTTCAGGCCGCTGTGGCTACGTTATGAAATTGAGAATCCCTTTCTTGTGGCCTGTATCCCTGACATAAGCTGGCCCTTGGCTTCCCTGTGCAATTGCTGTTTTCTCTCAACAGTGCTACCTGGGTGATGCTTTCCGCTGTGCCAGCTGCCCCTACCTTGGGATGCCAGCCTTCAAACCTGGGGAGAAAGTGCTCCTGAGCAATGACAATCTTCACGATGCCTAGGAGGAACCTGAGATGGGATGACTCTGCTCCTCCAGCCAACTCCTGTCCCTCAAATCCCACCACTGTGGCTCCTCTCACCCCCACCCCCACCCCCACCCCCGGATTTGCTTACTCTATTTGAAATCCCATCTCAGGGACGTGTGTAGCAGACAGAGAAGCTGTCTGTAGGATGCAGTGGTGTGTAGTGCTGCTACGTATCAAAAAACCAATGTATAATGGAGCCCTGTTACCCAGAGTGGGGGACCTGTTTCTTCACCTAGTGTTAGGGGAAGGGGGTGTGCCCTGAAGAGGCCCCTCCCCTGACGTTAAAATGCTGACTGTAACACTCTTGAGCCCAGATATCCTTGAGTATTATTAACACTTTGTGACAAAGCTCCAGACCCCTATCCCTATTCTGAGCCCAGCAATGCTGCCACCTACTTGTTTTCTAGAGTTGGTGGGTTACTCAATTTGCAGTTCTTGGTGATATGAGTCAAGTGTCTCATGACCTCCTCAGGGCACCAAAAGAGCCACTCACCGGTTGCTATGATCCTATCCAGTGTCTGTCTGCCCCCTTCTCCTCCCACCCCCACCCCATTTTATTATAGTATTACATCTGTGTCCTGTTGTCATTTCTATTAACCTACAAGTATTAAACTTGTGTACTTCTGTATATTGGTTGCAAAGAGAGGGGATATGTACATGTGTGTGATGTCTGACACAGTCATCCATGCTCAACTTGGACCACAAAACTTTTTTTTTGGAGGCCCTTAGTGTCACATACAAATCATGCCAGTCCTACACGAATAGAGTCTCTCTTCATCTACTTTAGAAGAGTCCAGATTGATTTGATCATCACACATCGTACACAGGTATTGATATTCACCTGTGTACCCCACAAATGCGTTTAATCAATTTTCCAACTTAAAAAAAAAAAAGCAATACAGGGGTATCACCTCAAAAAAAGAAAAAGTCCAGGTCAGGTTGTTGAGAATTTAGAGGGAAGCAGGACAGAACTCCGAACCAAGCAGGAGACCCCTTCATTCTCCTTGTTACCTACCCACATGGACTTGGAATCAGTCTTGGAGATTGTGTGGATTTAAGAGACCTGGATTTTTATATTTTACCAACAAATAATGGTGTTAGTTGGTATTTATCATTGAAACTTGATTTGATTCTCTAAGTTTGCCCTTGCTTATCCTGGTCCCTGCTGTGGATTTTAGTTATGAGTGTGGCTAAATTCTAGTTTGAATTAAGCACCAAAGTCCCTGTGGGGCTTAGAGTTCTAAAATGACTCCCAAGGACCCATGCCCTTGTGTAATCCCCCCCTTGAGTTTGAGCAGAATCTGTGAATGTGACAGGATATCCCTACAGTAATTAGGTTGCATTCTGTGGCAAAAGTGAAGGGATTTTGCAGATGTAATTAAAGTCTGATGGACTTTAAGTTAATGAAAAGGGAGATTCTTAGTGGGCCTGACCTAATCAGTTGATCCTTTAAAAGAACTAGAGAACAAAGTTTCTCTTGCTAGTCTTGAAGTAAGTTGCCAAGTTCTGAAAGGTCCATAGGCAAGGAATTGCAATTGTAGACCCTTGTCCCCTGACAGTCATCAAGAAAAGGGGGACCTCATTCCTACAACTGCAAGGAACTGAGTTGCACCCACAACCATGTTAGATTGGAGAGGATCCCAAGTTACAGATGAGAGTGCAGCCTGGCCGACCCCGTGATTACAGCCTTGAGATCCTGAGCAGAGGCCTGGCCTTGTGTGCCAGAACTCCTGAGCAATAGAAACGGAGATAAGAAATGGGTGTTTTGAACTTGCGATAATTTGTTATGCAGCAATAGGAAACTAATACAGCCCCCTGAATAGTTTAACGTACTTACCAAGGCCACTGTTAGTTGCTTCTGCTGCAGTTGCCAAGGTAAGGGACAAAAACTTCAAGCTCCGGGTTGAGGACAAGAGATCCTGAGTCAAAGTGCTTCCTGGGGTGGGTTTAACAAATGCCCCGAGCCCTTGCTGACCTGAGTTTTGTTCTGAGTCCCAGCTGCTGCTGGCAAAAAGGACAATGCTACCTCCTGTCTGCTGCAATTGGCATAGTTAATGGTACCACGTTGGCAGCTGCTGTGTCACTCCACAGGGTTCCCAGGGAGGCCAGCCAGCTTGGAGTCGGGTCTAGGATGGTGGAGAGAGGCCTTGCCAGTCAGTAGTGCACATCTGGGCCTGGGAGCTCAGCTGCAACTCCACATGGTGAGGAGATGCCAGACTTTGGGAGATGGCAGTTCTGAGGGGAGCTTTTAGCCTTCTGCAAGCTCACAGTATTAGAGCCAAAAAGTCTTAGAAATCACTAAATGCAACCTCAATATACATTTGAGGAAATGGTGAGACCAGGAGGGTGATTGCTGCCATCAGTCACCTGAGGACCTCTTAAAAGTACAGATGCCTGATGTTTTCCTTGGACACCGTCTGTATACCTGATGTAGGGGAGCTGAGGAATCTTATTTATTTATTTTTTTTCTTTTTTAACTTTCTAAGGCCTTTTGCTTAGAATTTGGCAGTGTACATTTGGGACTTTCTCCCTTCCGAAATCACTCTAAAGCAGTAAGTGGAGTGGGCAGCAGGGACAAACCACAGCTTCCTTGGGGTTAGGAGACAACCAAAACAAAACCACAAAATACTTGAAAGGGACTGAAAGCAGAGGCTTTTGAGATGGAGTGTGGAAGGGAAAGGACGGAGAACAGGTGAGGCTGCACACCTGCTCCAGGGTGAGGACACCCCTGTGAGATGCAAAATTAACCTGTGAGATGTTAATCGTTGTAACAATGAGTTCCAAGTGCACAAGCAAGCAGTGGGGCTAAAGGAAGAATCCCATGGAGAAGCCTCCCATTGCAGGAAGCACTCTGGTTTTGGGGCTGGAGAAGGGAGACTTTGCTTTGTGAACAGCCTCACAGCTCACTGGCCCTGCTGTTTGGGGGTGAAACCTTACCAAATATGGTGAAGGTGTGGCTGGGTAGGAACACACTATTGGTGAGACTCATTTGGGCAATGACACCCTAGAGTTGACTGAATATTAGAGTCACGTGGGTAGCTTCCAAAAACAAACAAAAAATGCCTATGCCTGCATTTCCTTTCGAAAGATCAACGAAGTTAGAATCTTTTGGAGTGGGGCCTAGGGTGCTAATATTTTTGCAAAGCTTTCCCAGGTAATTTTAAAGTGCATCTAGGGTTGAGAACCACTGCCCTAGAGAAATTCTTTTACACATGCACCAGAAGACAAGCTGAAGATATTCAAAGTAGCACTATGAGGGTACTTTTAAAAAGTTCATGGAAAAATGGAATTAAAAGATAATACAAATCTTTCTGTGAACTTTTTGAAGACCCCTCATATTGGTGAGAGCAAGAACCTGGAAACAATCCAAATGGCCATTCACAAGAGAATGGATGAGTGAGTCTTGTGGCCACGTGGTGGAACACTACAGCAGTGATGAGCCGTAGCTGTGCCCATCAATATGGAAGGATCTCACAAATTATGCTGCAGAAATGTGCATGGGTGCGTGCACATGTGTGTGTGAAATATGTGATTATACAAAGTTTGAAAGTTCAAAAACATACAAGGTGCATCTGTTATTAAGGTTGAACACATACTATTATGTATACACACACAGCAAGACTGAACAAGCTCAAGGAGAATGAGAAACAATTCAGGACTGTAATCAACTCTGGAGGTAGACGGGACAGGGAAATGGAACTTTAGAGTAGCAGTAAGTGTCTATTTCTTAAGCTGGATGGTGGGTATACAGGTATTTATTCTATTATTGGTTTGTATACCTTACACATACAAATGTATTTTGTACTTATAAGAAACTTCACTTTTAGAAAACTAGGAAAACCCCATGTACAAAACCCCAGAGTCTTAAGGAAGGTGCTGCTAGTCCAGAACGAAGTCCTGAGCCTCCCAGACATGAACCTCCAGGGGAATATTCAGCCCAGTTAAAATCTTATTCAAAATTTAAAAAGTGGAACAGGCACAGCAGCTATATAAAGATACTACAAAATAACAACAGGTAGAATGTTGCCACAGAGCAGATGAATACTGTCTGTGACCAAAATATTTGCTACAAATTACAAACATGTAAAATGCAATAAAAAGATACAAGAGCTCAAGAAATTACTAATAAGGTATAAACAGAGTTCTGTGATAAAAACATGAAATGGCAGAGCTGAGTCAAGAAGTGAAAAAAATGTAAAATTTGAGATATAAAGTCAGTATCGAAATTGCCACTATGCGCTGAAAACGGGCACAGAGGACAGAATAAGAAAATTAAAATGAAATGGAAATAAAGAGGGAAAAAGAATGAGAAAATGATTAGGCACAGAAAACAAAGACAAATAAGGTATCAAAGTAATTAAAGATACAATTCAAGAAATTTTGCAGAAATAAAGTAAGATTTGACATGTATATTGAAGAAAAAAGTGGCAAAGAACTAAAAATAATAGATTTATTCTATATCCTTTATCATCCCGAGAACACTGCACGCAGAGGGCTGTGCGTTGTCACAGAGGCATTGTTAATTCTAAAGTTACTTTATCGCTAAAATAATGTGATACTGTCTATAAGTGAGTGAAATAAAAATTTTTGTGAGCCTAGAAGAGTTTCTGCTTTGCACCCATTTGCCTTATCCTCTCTGTTCCCTCAGTCTCTTTGGTTCCATTGCTGGCTTATCACAGCAACAGGCCTGGGTGGAAAGAGTGCAGCTCTCTGGGCAGCTTTTACTTCATTCATCCCGCAGAACAGGGGGCCGGTGACAGAAGCCCCCACTCAGCCCTTAGTGACTAAAAGTCTCATCTTCTGTGGTCACTCCTGGTGGTCAACCTTGTGGGCTGACCACTGGTTACCCATGGCCTACCATTCAGCATGAGGCTTTTACCTCTGCAAAACCCTGTGACATCTGGAAACTGCATTTAGACTCAGCTGGGTTCACAAGTACTCACAAGTCCCCTCTGCTCTTCCAATCTCTCTCCCTGTTTTCCTTCCTTCTTTCCTTTTTAATTTTTCTACCATTACTTAAACACTTTTTTCTTTTAAATTATGAAAGATTTCAAACAGAGAATTGCAAATTTAATATAACAGACAACTGGATTTGATGTATTTGATTCAGATCACTCTTGTTTTTTTGTTTTTGTTTTCAATATGCAAGTGTTGCAGCTGTAGCTAAATCCTCCCAAAGCGTTCCCTGTGTCCTCTGTTCTGAAACTGATGTGTCACATCCAAGCCTGCTTTTATACTGCGATTCTACCAAAAAGAGGGTATATTATATGTGTCCCTTTCTCTAAGGTGAAATTCACATAAACTAATCACTTAAAATGAACAATTCAGTGGAAATTAGTACATTCACAATGTTGTGCAACTACCATTTCTATCCAGTTCCAAAACATTTTTACCACCCCAAAAGGAAACCGTGTACCTGTTAAGCAGTTGCTCCCTAGCTCCCTCTCCCCCCTGCCCCTGGTAACTACTGATTTGTGTTCTAACTGTACAGATTTACTTCTGACATTTTATATAAATGAAACCATACAAATATATGATCTTATGTAGCTGGCTTCTTTCACTTAGCATAACGTTTTCCAGGTTCCCCTATGTTGTAGCATGTATCAGTGCTTCATTCCTATTTATGGCAAAATAATATTCCATTGTATGGTCATACCATAATTTGTTTATCCATGCATCCATTGGTGGACATTTGGGCTGTTTCCACCTTTTAAGCTACTGTGAATATTCTGCTATGAACATATATGTGCAAGGACTGAACAAGTCCTTTGAAGGCTCACTTCTTAACAAGTCCCTGGTTTTTTGTTTGTTTGTTTGTCTGAGTATTTCATCCCTGTAATAGCCATGTTAACTCAGAGAAGGACTTGGGGAATACCCAGGTGGTGGCAGTTCAATTATGAGGAAACTGAAGTTTTTCTAAGACTGTTGTCCCCTAAGGGCAATATGAGAGGCAGAAAAGCAGCCAACTAAGCCCCAATTCTCTTTATTGGGTACATCCTCAAACAGGGTAGAGCAGGTCTTATTTCATTGTCTTATGGAGAATCAGGCCCAGGAAGATGAAACAAATGTGTCAAGGACCCGCAGCCAGTCGGTGGCAAAGTAGAGACCGGAAACAGGTCCCTGACGCCTTGTGTCAAAATGTACCCCCAGGATTCGAATTTATGAAGGTGACAGTGACAACACAGACAGGTCAATGCCATTGCAGGAAGAATTTATTACTTATATTTCCCAAAAGAAGAGGCCATGCCATGCCACTCAGCCAGGGAGGAGGCAAAAGGGCTGGTCAGGAGCTGAAATGGACAAGGGGAAGGCGTAGGCTGGGGTTTCAGTGGAAAGGCAGGGCAGGCCAGGGAAACAGCTTAGGAGTGGCTAGCTGGGATAATTCCAGACGGCCTTGGGGCATAGAGGCTGTCCCTAATTGTCTGGTACCTGGTGCTGGGTGACTTATGGCAGTGGAAATATTGGCTTGAGGTGTGAGAGTTAGGGAAAGAAATTGGTTGGAGGGTTTGTAATATATTTTCAAACACCTGCAGAAGCTGGATTGCAGTGGAGTGTAAACAACTTCGGCTGTTACTTTGGCCCTGTGATTGATGGATGCCCAGTAGACAAGTATAGACTCTAAGAAAACACAGAGCATGCCTAGCCCAGTGCTCTTTACACTATCCAAGCTGCTTGTGGAGTTAGTGGCCCTGCAAGTCCCAACAGTGTTTTTTCCTTCTTCCTCTTCATCCAGCTACCCCCCAGGCAGTGGGATTGGTGGTTTCCTTGACTCTGTTCCCCCAGGTGAAGAGCTGGCTAACGACAGTCACCCATGCCCCAAGGCCTTGTGCAACTACAACAGGATTTGGCTGACCCAGCCCCAGGGACAGTGCTGAGGCCAGAGTCTCAATGGATGACCAGGTCAGGCCTCATGCAGCAGCCTCAGAACTTTACTGTAGGGCAGGAGCACTGTCTGGTGGGCAATTGGTGAACAACCCAATTTTAATTTCTAGCTCCTAAGATGTGATGGGCTTCAAGCCCAGTTGTTAGAGCTCCTCGGGAAATTTCCCTTTCCCCACAAGTGACCCTTATGGAATTCACCTGAGAGTTGTTGATGAAAGTAAATAAATCAGATGTCTACTACACACAAAGCACTTTTTCCCCTCTTACAAATGAGTCAGGTGCTGAGTTTCCTGACCCAAATATCTGTCCCAATGAGCTTATTGAGTCAATCAAAGACTCAAGCAGCTACAATTACAGGGAGCTAGTGTGGTCAAGATTAGACTGAGGTGGAACCAGGGAGCTTGTGGGGGACACTGAGTGGGGGATCAGATGTGAGCAAGGAGACCAGGAAGAACTCCTGGCAGAGGCGGCATTTGAGCTGAGCTCTGTATGGGAACTGGATTTCAGAAGTGGAGGAGGGGAAGCACCATGGGAGACTGAAGCAATGAGCAGCGACCTTCCTCACGGCTCACCCGTCCCTGCCCATTCCCCTTTCTTCTTCCCTCCCTGCTCACCAACATGTCTCCAAGTCACAATTCCTTAAAATGCCCCAGGGGAACATGGTAGCTGGTCCCATCTCCTGCATCGCACCCCACTCCCTTGCACCCCCATGCTGCTATTGAACACTTGGATTCCGATCCGGCATTGGCTGCCACTCCTGGATCCACCTCTTCCCTGCCCAGATGCCTTTAAGCAACACCCGTGCCCTTTCGGGGGCCCTCTGGCAACTCCCCACCTCCTCACAGACCTCCATGGCAGTCTACTTCTCTGAGTTTACAATATGGGCTTCTGAGTAGGATTTCACAAAGAAAAAAAAAATCTTGCCTCTTTTAAGAATAGTGTGCAATGAACAGGGTCAGATATACTCTGTCCTGCAGATGCAGCAGCCCGGCCCCAGCCCTTGCTCTCCATTCTGACTTAGGGGCTCCTCCTTGCCTCTGTCCTTTTTTGGATCATCCTTCCCCCACCCTGTGGATCCAGAGGACATTTTTCCACAAACAACTCACACAGGGCTACCTCTAGGACACTGGATCTGAGGCAGTTGCTCAAAGGATGCTCTTCAGCATCAGGGCGGGAGGGTGGTCCACCTGTGGCCGAGGAGACCCTGGAGTCACAGGGAAGCCAGTTTGTTGCCAGAACCCAAAGGTCCAGGTTCGAGTACCCAGTGCTCATCTACATCAAACACCGAGACAATGGGACTTAGAGATAAGGAAATGTTTATTCGAATTGGCCAAAGCGAGAAGATGGGTGAGCCCAAGTTTCTCTGATATGTCTTACCATAGAAACAGAAGGCAAGGAGTTTTATAGGGTTAAGAGGTAACGGAGGGGAGTTTGGGGAGATTAGATCTTAGGTAACTAGGCTCCTTGGTACCAGTGGCAGCTGGGGCTGGGTCACCTGGTGGTCACAATTTCCTTGAGAGCCTTCATTCTCTTCTGTAAATTGAACTCATAAATTTTCCTTGTGATCCTTGGGTCATCTCTTCCAGCTTGATGGAAAACTGGACATCGACTTATATTACAGGAACAAGGGGTACTGGAAGGGAAGCTAACAGCTAAGATCAAGCAACAGTTGAACTCTACTCTTACTGTTACTCCCAACGAATTGCTGCTCCTGGGAATCCAGCCTGTCCTGCTTGGTCAAACAGATATATATACATATATACATTTTTTTCTTTTTTTTTTTTTTTAGCTATTTCCCCCTTCCCCTAGCTGAGGCCTGCTCTGATGGGGGAAAGGGGAACAGCCATGAGAAACTGGGGGGTCTGTTCCCCACTTCCAAGTTCATCACCATTATCAACCTCCTTATTATTAGGATTTTTGTTTTATTCGGGCCCCTTCTGGAAAGTGAACTTGGGTTCTGGCATCTGCCCTGCAGTGAGATGACTGGCCACAAGGGGGAAGCAGGAGGCAAAAGCCTTGTCTGAAAATCACTCTCCTCCCAGCAACCATGCCGAACACACCCAGGTCACAGAATTCTAGGACAAGAAGGACCCAGTGCCCCTGCCCCAAGACTGCATCCCAGAGAGAGAAGCAAAGAGCCCACCACTGGCTGGAAAAGTGAGACAGAATTAGAATGTCAAACCTGACTGTTCGCCCACTGCATGCTGTGGCTCCAGCCCTGAATTGGGCTTGGGCAGAAGGGTCTGCAGGGTGGGGGTTTCCAGAGCCTCCCATTCCCATCCTTCTGAGTGCATGGGCTGTGGGGTCCCCAGAGTGGCTCACAGAGTGCCAAATCTAATGCAGGAGTTGGGGCTGACAGACACACAGGAATCAGTGGGAGAACAACCCCACACCAGGGGTGGGCTGTGGAAGTGAGAAGTAGGTGGGGAGCTGTGCTCAGGGCTGGTGTCCCGCAGGCTGGGCTGGGGCTGAGGCAGGTCAAGGCTGGGAGGGGTGGGGCTCACGCTTCGGTTGGGAGGGACCAGGCAGCCACGTGGGGCAGGAAAGAAGTGAAGCGGGTGGAGGACTCAGGGCCCCCAGTGCCCGCTCAGCCCTGGGAGCTGGTCTGGAGTTCAGATGGGAGAGGGAGCCAGGGCACAGGAGGAGCTGAGCCTGACTGGCTGCCGTGAGTACAGGGAGGCTGAGACCTGGGGAGATGGAGGCAGGGGCTGCAGGAGCTCCCCTCCCCCACCAGGGAGCTCCCCAGCTCTTGGCGAGTCCCAGCCTGCAGAAGGGTCCTGGAAACTTTTGTGGAATTGGATTAAATGCGTAAGAGGAGGTATGTCCTCAGCTCCACATCGGGCAAGATAGGGGCTGCTCTGGGAGGAGACCTCAGGGGAGAGAATCCAGCTGACCCTTCCCAGAGCCCCCATTGCCCACCCACAGCAGAAGGGAGGAGAGGCAGCCAGAGTGGAGTCATTTGTCCAACCCTGCCTGCCCCTGCCTGGGCCTCTCTCACCAAGGCCTCCCCTCACTTGTGGGTGAACTGCAGCAGCCACGTCCCCCTCTCAACCTCAGTTTCCCTTCCCAACCTGGACAGGGCAGGACCAGATGTTCTCTGAGGAACCTTCCAGCATGACAGGCCAGAGTGGAAGGGCATCCTGCGCTGCAGGGACAGAACACACTGACCCAGAATGAGGGAGAAAGACTTTAATCTGTGCCCTTTCATGCCCATAGCTCCAGTTCAGAAAAGGGTCTGGGTCTCCCTCTCTGCGGCTCCTTTTTGTCCTTGTGGGCCTCCACTGGACCCAGGCAGCTTGGGGTTGGGGTCGTGGACACTGATGCTGGAAGTCTCCAAATGGTCCAGGGAGAAAATCAGGATGCCTGGGGGATGGCTTTGCGCAAAAGATGTTTAACTGCCTTCTTCACTCTCCTGTCCTCAGGATCTGAACAGACGGACTTGCCCTGGATAGTTACAAGCCTACAGGTAGGGAGAAAACCATCAGGGCAGTCAGGGCAGAAGGGCCGTCCAGAGTCCTGGTTCCAGCCCCACCCTACACTGACCAGGACCCTGAGGCCTCAAGTGGGTCAGGAGCTTGCCTGAAGTCGCACAGCATGTCGATGGCATATGTAAGCCATCAGGCCCTGTCCTCAGTGATCTCGACCCTCCCAGGGCCCTGCCTTGGTCCTCGCCCTCCCAGGGAGCCAGAGCTGCAGGATTTGTGCCCACCCCCCTTAGGCTACGCACACCCCCAGACCACCTAGAACCTGGGAAGTGGAGGTGGCAGACAGGGCCTCGCACTTGGAGCTCTGGCTCAAGCCCAGGTCAGGGAAGGGATCGCATTGCCACTGACTGGCAGTGTGACCTGGGCTGTCCCGTCCCTCTTGGTGCCTCAGTTTCACCACAGATCAATGAAGCAATTGGACCTCATGGTGCAGGAACTGCCCTGAGGAGCCAGGCGGGTGGTCAAGGGGAAGAAGGCCCTGCTCTCTCCTCCCCTCCGTCCCCAGTGCCATCCTGTGGCTCCAGGGTCCACTTGCTCCCCACGCTTGGCTCCCAGGAGTGAGGATGGGGTGGGAGACTTACACAATGGCTTCCCTGGGACACTCCTCTGAGGTCTTGTACCACTTCACCAGCTTTTTGACAGGAATGGCTCCACTGAAATACTCCAGGCAGCACTCCCGGCCCACATTAGTGGCTCTAACTGCTGAGAGACACGGGAGCAGGGATGTCGGGGGTGGGGGGGGCGGGAAGAGGCAGGCACCTGCGGTGGGTGTGCACGTGCGTGTCTATGTGTGTGTGTCTGTGTGTGGTGACTGTCTGTGTCACTAGGCCTATCTGCATGTGTGTGTCTTATTGGGGCAGGTCTGTGGCATGTGTTTGGGGGGGATGTGTGTGTTTCTGTGTGTTATGTATGAATCTGCTGTGGGGATCTGTGAGTGCGTTTCTGTGTGGGGAGTGGGGGGGGTCTATGAATGTCATTGTGTGTGTGTCTCTGTGTTAACGTATGCACGTGTGTGTGTGTGAGGTCTCTGTGTATGCTGTGGGGGGTCCTGTGCGTTTGTGTGTGTGTTGATCTGTGCATTTATCTGTGTGTGTCAATGTGTGCATGCCTGCGTGTGTCTGTGCATGTGGGTTTGTGTGTGCATCTGCATATGTCTATGTCTAGCAACCGTATTTCAGCTTTCCTTTCCCAACTGAATATAAAAATCTCCTTTTTCATATGCTCTTGGAACCAGTTCTCCTGTTTTGGTTTTTTTTTCATTAAATTTTTATTTTGTCAATATACAATGTATATGGTTATTATGGCCCAGTTCTCCTGTCTTTATTCTGATTCCCTCATTGTACATAAAGCCCATTAATAAAACAGATGCTAACAAATAATTCTGAGAACTGTTCCTTTTCCACTATAAAACCACAACCAGCCTCATTGCCTGGCAACCAGTGCAGTACGAGATGGGCTGAACACCGCTCACGAAGCCCATCCCTAAGTGCTGGGCCAGCCACACCATCATCATCATCCTCATTCTCCTTTGATTGCTTCCCTCAAAATCCTGCTGCTGCTGGTCCCTCATATCTTTTGTGAGAATAGGTGGAGTATAAATAATACACAAACATGTGTGTTGCTCCTGTGGTCTCAGAGTCTGGCCCCTGCCCCCTGCCTCCTGTCCCCTGCTCTCACCTGCATGGATGCACTGCAGAGAAGCCCCGAGCAGGAAGGCGACCAGAGGCAGCATCTTCAGGGGAGTCATGGTGCCAGAAGCCCAGGAGGGGGTCTCTGTGTGTGGGTCCCTCTGATCTAGGGAGACAAGGGTGGCAGCTGAGTATGGAGATGTGGAGATGACCTATTTAACCTCTTTGGGGGTCTTGCCACGCCTCCTGCTACCTCCCCCCACATCCTTCCCTAGATCAGTGCAATTCGACGAATTTGAGATGATTCAGAAGTCCAGTCTTGGAATGTTTGTGGCTTTCCAGAGAATGGGCACTCAACAGGGGACAGAGGTGGGGTGCATGTGTCCGGGGGCCATGAAAGTGGCACACTTCTCCTTTCAAAGGGGACATTTCCTGGTTCCTCTATTAGCAGAATGGAAAAGCCTCCATCCTCCACTGGATTCATCCCCAGCTCTGAGCCTGGTGAGCTTTTTTCATGCATGGTGCCTTGGGGTGGTGGGGGACAGACAGGAGGTGGACAGTCAAGCAGGGCCAAGCAGGGCCCTTCACTGGGGCCATGGATGAGCTACAGGGTGCTGGGAAGGCCGTCCTAGGAAGGGTCAGCTGGCTGCCGTGCACGTGCACACAGGCATCGCTCTGCAGGGAGATCCGAGTTTCATCTGATTACAAAAAAGGCCTAAGCCCAAATAAGGTTCTCGAAGAACGACTTTGGTTGCATGTCCTTCCCCAAGTGGGGCTCTGACCACCATTTAGTCTCAATGTGTGCTTCTACAGATCAGGAAGTCAGGTTCCCCCAAATGGGGTGCCTCACCCTAGGATGCAGAACAGAATGAAGGATCAGTGGTAAGAGACAACACTTCTCCTGTCCAGCACAGCTGTGTCCTGAGTCCACCTTGGGTACTTGGTCAGGGTCCAGCCCGAGCCAGGCCCTGAGTAGACTTTCCATGACCCCCAGGTGGGGCTTCCTGCCCAGCGCCAGCCACAGCATCACTGCATGTGGGTCAGTTGCCTGACCACCAGAAAATACAGCCAGTTGTCCACTTAAGGCTCCTTTGAGGCCAGAGCATGGGCGTCCCTTAAATAGGAGAGTCCCACGCCCACCTGTAGGTGGGCAGCATCTCAGCAGGGCAGCTCAAGGCAGGGAGGCACCTGGATTTTGATTCTGGCACATGGGGTCTAGGCCTGGCTTCGCCCTGTCTGTGAGTGACCAGGGCAGCTCCGAATGACACACCAACCCCTCCCGCCACCACATGGCATCAGGTGCCTTGTCCCTCTCCCAGTCAGCTCTGTGTTTGTTGATCATTGCATCACTATTAAATTTTCATTCACAGCAATGATAACAACAACAGTATCTGTTGAAACCCGACTCTCCCAGGAGCAGCGCTCAGAGGGTAACTCCTCAGCTGTCAGGGAGAACCTATGAGAGAAAACCACGACACTGGGCTAGATCACGGGAGGAAAGGCCAGGTGCTCCTCCTCTCCCATAGGGCTGTCTCGGGAGGCTGGGGCTGCTTCAGTTCCTTGGTGGAGGGTGGGTGACTTTCCCCTAACCATGGCAGAACCTCCCTGTGGGTAGCATCCTCTGCCACGGTATCACTGTGTATGACCTTGGGCATCTCACAGACCCTGTCTGGGCCTCAATTTTATCACCCATGGAAGGAAGTTTGGGCTATTCCCAGAGAGCCTCCACCAAAACTGTAGATCTAAGAAAGATGGGCCTCCCTTGGGGAGCCTCATTCCAGCATTTCTCTGCTTCTTTTGGAGTCACATCAGCTGCCAGACTCCCTAACCCTGCCCCTCCTCAAGCCACAGCTGGTAGGCTCTTTGCCTCCAGCCTGCCCAGCTGGGCCATTCCTCCTGTGCCCAGGCGGCCTCCATTTGCATGAGCAGCAGAGGGGAGGGCAGAGGAGGGAGGTCTTCCTGCCCGTGCATATCCTTGGCACTGGCTTCCCACAGAAGGAGAGGGGCAACCTTCACCCCCAGTGGAGGAGCACCCAGCAGAGTCCCCCATCCTGAGTCAGAAGAGGCCAGGCTGGGCTGCAGAAGGGTGTAGGGGAGGGAAGCTCTGACCTGGACACAGATGAGGGCCTGGGTCTCCCCCTCTGAGGGTGGGAGTGCCTGTTGACCCTCAGTGTTCTCCATGCCCTTTGCCCAGTGGCTTCTGCCCTCCCTCTTGTGGCTTCTCCACCTGCCACAGAGGCCACCAAATGCTTCTCAGTGTAAGACAATTGCAAAAGAAGACTGTGATGTGATTAGCAACTTTATTCATGGTGAGGTGGCCCCGACCCCCCAGCTGGGGAAACTCCCTGAGTGGGTTTCGAGTCCTCTTTGTTCTGGCACAGACTCAGAACTTTTCTCCAGAAGGACTCAAATTCCCCTGTCCATTCTGGGGAACAAGTCACAACAGCAGCAGCGGAACATTCTGGACCAGCTCTGGGCTAGGGGTGAGCTGCCTGGCAGGGGGGAGAGCAGAGCAGCAAACCTGGGCTGCCTGTGTGTGCCCCCTCAGAGCTGTGCCAGGGCCTGAGGGGTGGGCAGAGACCAGACGCAGCCCCTGTCCTTGAAGGGGTTCACAGTGGGGGAAGGGTGGGGGAATGGGGCCTGGCCCCTTATAAGGACATGCAGGTGGGATAAAGGGCCTTGGGACCCAGAGTGGAGAAAGGTTGCTTCTGGCCAGGAGACCTTGGAAGGCTGCCTGGAAGAGGCCACCAGTGGGCTGGGCTTTGTAGGTGGGATTCACATTAAGAGAGGAGGGAGGGGCATTTCACATGAGGGCACTGCTTAGGCAGAGGTGCAGAGGAGGGAAGGCACAGAGATAAATCAGGGGAATGGCACAGAACTCTGGTGGAGAAATGGTCTGGAGACAGGAAGCTCCACAAGGACAGGGCTGCATCTGCTCTGCCCAGCGCTAGAGGCATCCCCAGCGCCAAGCATAACACCTGGAACATGGCAGGCTTTCAGTGACACTTGACCAAGTAGATACAGGACTGGTGGAAAGGGAGGTAAGACTGACATGAAGGGTAAGTGTGCCTCTCAGTCTTATCTGGGAGCCAGTGGAGATTGGGGACATTTTTGAGGTGGTTTCCTCACCAGGGATTAACCGGACTTACTCCTCCTCAGTTCTCCCAGCTATGAAGTGGACTCCCAGGGGCATTCCAGATGAATGTTCTGGAGTGTGGGCCTGTGACAAGGGCCTCCAGAGACTTTTATGGTGCAGCGAGGACTCTAGGACCTGGAGGTCCATCGGGGCAATCAGGAATGCTCCCTGGAGGAGGTAGCTGCGAAGTGGAACTTTATGGACAGGTTAGTTGGGCTGGAAAAAGGGCAAGAGCAAAAGCAGGGAAGCAGGCCAGACGCAGGTCTGTCAGGAGAAGAGAGTAAAAGGGGAATTGGATCTGAGTGGTGGGAGGAAAAAGCAATGGTGACTTCCTGTCCCAACCCCTCTGATGAAAGCTGGCCAGACATACCACCCATGCAGTGACTTGCTCAGGGTCTCCCAGAGCATCTCAGTAAGGGGGAAGTGCTTTATCCGCCCAGCCCCATCTTCTGACAGCTGAAGCTGAATTTGTCCCACCCTGCCCTTGGGGGTGAGAAGCAGGAATGGGGCCAGCCCAGCTGAGATGTGAGAGTCCTAAATGTTATATCCAGCTCTGATCCCAAAATACTGCCCACTCCCAATCCCGAGGGCCTGATATTGATGAGTCGCTCGTTCTGACAGGTTGTTGGTCTGCTCGGTCCCTCAGGTCAGAAACCTCAGGGTCGTCCCTGCCCCTCCTGGGCTCTTCCTCACCACCCGCATTCACTCGGCCAGCAGGACCATCTGGATGAGTCTTGAATCTGTCTCCTTCTCACCATCTGCATGGCCGCCCTCCATCTCTCTGCTTGTCCACAGCCCCACACTCATCTCCCAGCTTCCAGGCTTACCTCCTCCAGGCCATCCTCCTCCCTAAAGCCCAATGATCTTCCCAGAACACAAATCTAAGCAAGGCTCTCCCCTCTCAAAATCCTTCCATGACTCCCCATTGCCTTCAAGATGAAGCCCAAATTCCTGCCTATTCCTCCAGCCTCAATACCCACCACACCCCTTTGTTCCAGCCATGTGGACCTTCCTTGAAAATGCTAGGCTGTCACTGACCCCCCAGTCTGGAATGTCCTCTCCTGCTCCCCCTTCCCACCTCCTTTCACTCCTACCTTTCTTCACATCACAGCTTGATCCCTCACTTCCTTCCGTCAGCCTCCACCTCCCTTTGTGTCCCCAGAGGTCATTGTCTTCACATTGCATTGTGATTGCTGGTTTAGCTGTTGGCCGTCACACAAAAGACTGTGACGTCTTCAAAAACAAGGATCTCTTTTGTGTTCCAACTTGTCCCTCCAGGACTTAGCACCCATTAGGTGCTCAATCAAATATGTTTATTGAATGAATAAAGAGGTGGGTGGTTGGATGGATGATTAAATGAATGGATGGATAGATAGATGAGATAAAGTGTGCATGAATGGTGGATGGATGGATGTGTGGATGGATGGTGGATGGATGGATGGATGGGAGGATCTGTGGGTGAATTGTGGGTGGACGGATGGATGGATGGATGGATGAGAGGAGGCGTGGATGGATAGATGGATGAAAGGATGGGTAAATGGGCTGATGGATGATGGATGCACACGTGCATGCATGGATAGATGGATAGTCACTTAGATGGATGGATGAGAGGAGGCGTGGATGGATAGATGGATGAAAGGATGAGTAAATGGGCTGATGGATGATGGATGCACACGTGCATGCATGGATAGATGGATAGTCACTTACAAATTTCTGGACTACAGCATGGGCCCAGCTTATGTTCTCTCCCACTGGCTCCTTCACTCCAGAACAAATTATTTTTGATCCAGTGTGTCCCATCAATTCATGAGGCACACCCAAGTCCTTCTGTCATGGATAAAGCAGAGGAACCCAACCAAAGGCACTCTGACTCTCTCTTTTTTTTTTTAAATCCAATTTACATCTTTTGTGGGTTGTGGTCATTTTCTACCAAAACTAAGTTGCTTCAATCATGGCTTCAATCTCTCTTTTTTTTTTTAAATCCAATTTGCATCTTTTGTGGGTTGTGGTCATTTTCTACCAAAACTAAGTTGCTTCAATCATGGCTTCAATCTCAATCTTTCTTCATCCCAGAGGGGCCTCCTTCCCTCGGTTACACCCCACCTCCTGGCTCTTCACTGTCTCCTACCCTTGGACTCTCTTCCCTTCTGCTGACGACATGACCCTGACTCTCTACTTCATAAAGACCTCTCCTCGACCCCAACACTCCCTCACGCTACCCTCCTATTTCTCCTCTCATTCATGACCAAACTTCTCCTCTGTGTGGTCTTCACTTCCCGCCACCATTTCCTCTCTGCCATTTGCGATTTAATTAATCCTTAGCAATGTGGCTTCTGGCCCTGACACTCTAGGGAAGCTGTTCTCTCAGAACCCCTCCATCCCCCATGGCCACTCCCCATCCCCTCCTAGTGGGCAGTGTGGGGCAATTACCAGACGATCCTCTGGAAGCCTTATCTCCAGCCCTGGGTCCCAGTCCCTCTTCTACCTGTTCCTGGTTGTGTGACCAAGAACAATTTTATGAACTTCACTTTTCTCATCTGTAAAAAGGGCATGATGCTGGACGCTGCCTCATGGCTTGGCAGGGAGAATTAACTGAGATGCTGTGCGTAAAGTTCCTGGTCTCCAGCTGGTCCAGTGAATCTCCTCGTCATCCCTGGGAACCATTTCTCTTCCTGACGCTCCTCCCCACTGGGATTTGGGACATATTTCCTCCCTGGGCTCCTTGCGGGCTCCCCTTCTCAGTAACACCCCTGACCTTTCACCATCGGTGGGGTGGCGTTCTCAGCAGTGACATCTATTAGTTTACTTTGTCCTCACTACAGCCTTAGGAGGTGAGAATGATTAGCGTCTACATTTACAGATGAGGAAACTGGGGACCAACCAGAGTGGTTTAAAACACTAGCCCAAGGGTACAGAGTCAGCAAGTGGCAGAAGCATACCTAGAGCTCTGAGCTAGACTTTGTTTTCGCCTCAAGCAACCCTGTCTCCCTCCTTGACATCTACTCCAGACCTTTCACCTCTGGATGAACACTTCTTAAATCTCTGCCCCAGCCCTGACCAGTGACCAATCAGACACACCCACCCAGACCCCAGCCTTTCCTCTGGCCTCTTCTTGTCTGTTTCTATTAGATCCTTCAGTTCTCTCTGCCTTGCAGTCTAGCCAGCTCTGTGCAGGTCTAGTCTGTGAGCTCCTGGGTGGCAGAAATCTGTCCCCTGGTGGTTCACTCAGCCCCAGAGCAAGAAATGCATGACTGAGTTCCCTCTGAAACCAGCTTCCCTTTTTTCTGTTCAAGCCCGCATCATTCCCCACCTCCCCAGCCGCCCCGCCAGTCTGAAATGTTGCCCTTGACTCATTCCTTGCCTCCGGCCCCCACATCACGTCAGAGACTCTGCTCAGCACTGTCTTCACACCCCTCACTTCCTCCTCATTGCCATTGGCTCAACCCTCATCCTGCACACCCAGACAGTCTCCATGACTTCTGGGTCTATTCCCTCCCCTGGTTTCTCCACCCAGCCCACATGCCCATATCTGAAGGGTCTTTCACAAAAACTGCTCTGACCATGTAATGCCCTCTTCAAGAACCATCAATGGCTCCCTGCTTTCTTCCCCTTTTTATTAGTCAGGGTTCCCCAGAGAGACAGAATCAATAGGATATGTTATAAATATATGAGA